ATTTTTATTTCTCTTCACAATTTATTCATTATATATCCCTATGAAAGCCTCCTTCAACTCCACCCTCCTTCCCTCTTCCCCCTATCTATTTTCCCTAGTCCACTGAAAGGGGGAGATCTCCACTATTGCCATCTGCCCACAGCTTGTTAAGTCTCATCAAGACTGCCTGGATCCTCTTCCTCTGTGGCCTGGCAAGACCTCATCACCAGGGGCCAATGATCAAAAAGCAGTCAATTTGAGACATTCAAAGACTTAAAGAGACCTGGAGCATGCTAGAGGCAGCCCCTGCTCCCCTCACTCAGAGATCCACATGGAGACTGAGCTGCCAATTGGCCACATCTGAACAGAGGGTTTAGGTCCTCTCCATGCACGGTCCTCGGTTGCTACATCAGTCTCTGCAGGAGCCCCTGGACTCAGATCTTTTAGTTTTGTTGGTCTCCTGTGGGGCTCCTGTCCTCTCCATGTCGCTCTATTTCTATCACTCTCTTCCTCCATAAGACTCCTTGCACTCTGCCCAGAGTTTGACCCTGAGTCTCAGCATCTGCTTCCATCCCCTGTTGGGTGAATCCTTTCAGAGGACCCTCTACAGTAGACTTCTGTTCTGTTTTCTCTCTTCTATGCTTCTGGTGTCTATTCTGTTTGCCATTCTGAAGGAGATTGAAGCATCCTCTGTAGGGTCCTCCTTAGTGTTAAACTTCTTTAGGTCTGTAGATGGCAATCCTATATTATATGGCTAATAGCACTTATGAGTGATTGTATACCACACCTTTCTTTCTGTTTCTGTGTTACATCACTCAGGATGATTCTTTCCTGACATTTTAGTGTTTGTTGTCATCTGTAAAAGTGATAACTGATGTGGACATATTTATATTTTAATGCCATATAACACACCATTTAGAGAACTAAATAAACAGGTCTTTGGAAATGACAGGGAATTGAGACATTCAAAGACTATTAAAGAGACTTGGAGCATTCTGTTTCTACAATATAATGATTTTCATTATATAAAGATCATTGCAAACATTTCAAAGAGCTGGGGGCAGCTCAGTGCTAGAGCACTTGCCTAGAATGTACAACGCATCTGGCTTCATCACCAGCATAGGGACGACACATTGGCACTCTTTAAAGAAAGAAATCTTGTAAAGTGCATTGTTTTCATTACTTTCAAGGTTTTTTTTTTTTTTTTTTTTTTTTTTTTTTTTAATAAACCAAATTCCACACCCCTCCCCATTCTTTTCTCCCTCAAAAAGCCCTTGGAACACTTAAGTTCTGAGTTTGGTTGGGTTCCCAGTTGCTTAAGGGCTGGTGTACTATTAGCAAAATAACTCAGGAACAACACTTTGCTCATCAATTCTTTAAGAAAAGGTAGTGGTTCGGGATAACTAAAAGGCTCTTTAGAAAGCCTGTGTTCCAAATTATGTGGATAGTAGATGGACATCTACTAATTCCAGAAAACACAGATTCATGCTTCTCTAGACAATGTTTGATGACAAATGCTGCCTCTAAGTAAAACATCAAGACAACACAGGGCAGTGATGGCTGTGTTCTTTGCCACGCTGGGTAAACCAGCCCTGTTCTAAGCAGTGGGCACTCTTCACTCTGCGTTCTAGTCCACGTTGTTTGCCGCATTCCACTTTTCCCCCTGCCCACGTGCTAATCCACATTTAGAATATAGTATTGTGGTGAATTGTATGTTCTGAAAGATTGGGACAGGAAGAGTTTCGGGAGGTGGATGGGAGTAGCCTGCAGCCTAGCTGGGAAAGCACAGGAGTGTTTCTTCAGTGTGGCTCTAGCAAACACATCACTGGGCAACTTGGTTTCAGGTTTTTGGCTACAACCCCAGGCTTTCTACAGCAGAAACACCCAGGTGAGCTCAGCAGGCTCTATTTGATTAGAACTGCAGGTCAATCTGGTTACACAGGTTTAAACAACCAGGTTGAGGGATATGGATGACTGGGGTGGCTGGATGAAGGGTGAATCTGTGAAGAACTACAATAATAAGACCCCATGCCTGTGTGCCCCGGATGCCACAAATACTCAGCAAGAGGTTTGTGCTGGCCTTCCTGAAGTGCCACGATCCTTCTGTAATATTAATACAACTACTACCCAAGGCCCATGGGGGCTTTCCATGTAAGGACTTCTTGTTTTATTTCAAAGGGTTAGATTTTTTTTTTTAACTTGGAAGGTTATTCATTTCAAAGAATCTTGGAATGTAAATTGTCCTTTGTTGCACCCCCATAAGAAATGAAAGCGTTCAGAGAGATGGTTAAATTATTATTTCAGTTAAAATGTACTTCATCTTTCTGAAGATGCTTTTCCATTAAAAAACCTGTTGTTCTTTGTTAATTAGCATTTGCTGCCAGCTGTGGTGTGCTAAGGACTTTTAACTTTGGACATCATACTTGGTAAAATCCAACCACGGAATTTTTAAAGGGCTGCCAGGAAACTTGAGGACTGAAGGAAATTTTCATATTGCATAATCCATTTTTTACTCAGATTTTGAATGTAATTTCCCCTATCACAAGAAAAACTTGTTCTTGAACCATTTAGGTTTTTAAATATGCTACTTTTTAAGATATTCTTGCCTGTGTCTTAGAAAATGCCTCTCTTTCCCTTCCTTTTTTTTTTTTTTTTTTGTCCTTTCTTATCTTTTTTCCCCTTTATAAAGCCAGAAAAGGCTTGCAATTTTTTTAAGTCTTTTGTTTTCCTTCTGCAAGCTTTATTTCTCTTGGTACCTCACCCTAGCTTGGAACTCACCAAGTAGTCCAGGTTGGCCTTGACCTCACAGCAATCCCTCTGCCTCAGCTTCCCAAGACCTGGGATTAAATGCATGAATCACCGTTTCTCAGAAATCAACAAACTCCCAAAAACTTCTTTTGAAAAGAAGTCAATAACTTAAAAGAATTACTCCAAATAATAAGGTCAACTTGAAGGTCAACACATTACTCAGGAAAAGAAGACAGATTATTGCTGCAATGTGGCTGGAAGGTTGGGTAGTCTTAGGGTGCAACACTGGGAACTTTAAGAAAGAGAAAACGGGGATCTTGTGTGACTAGGTATATATGCTGGCTCCTACATTAGGAAAAAAAAAAAATTCTGTGTCAGTCACTTGCTTTTCCGGTTAGTCATGTCCTATTACTTTGGCTTGAAAAAACTTTCTTTTATATGCACGGGTTCCTTGCTTACATGTGTCTTTGTACCTCATGCAAGCCATGCTGTCAGAGGCCAGAATATGGCTTAAATGCCGTGGTACTAAAGCTACCAGTGGCTGAGAGCCACTACAAGGGAACCCATGTCTTCTGCTTTAAACACAGCCATCTCTCCAACCCCTTGAGGCTTATTTTAGTCCACTGAAAATCAGATTTTTAAGCATTTGTTTTTAGTGCAGTCAAGAAGCAGAGGGAAATCAACACTAACTGAATCTCACTGAAAAAATGAACTCTAAACATAAAAGTTTACACTTTTAACTGTAATTCTTCTGTCTTCACTATTGAATAGTACTGTTATTTTAAAGTACCACAATTAATTTATCCACTTATATAATAAAAGATATTTTGTTTAAGTTCAGTTTGTGTTTACATAATTAATAAATATTCACGTTAATCTTCCTATTATTTTTTGAGATTATAATATATTTACATTTTCCCTTCTCTATTCTCCTTTCAAACCCTCTACTATACTCCTCTTTGCCCTCTTTAAAATTCATGGTCTCTTTTTTCTTGTTGTTACATACATATGTATTCCTAAATATAAAACTATACCTTGCTCAGTCTGAGTAACAATACTTGTATGTATGTTTTCAGGGCTGAGCGTTTGATAATGTATAACCAATTGGTTTGCTCTTTCCTTGGGATTTTCCTAGATAGTTTATGGCTTTGGAGGATCCTTATCACCCTATGTGGCATAACTTCATTTAAACTACATACATGTGTGACATATATACATAATTTTAATTAAACAAATAATATGATTCCACATGAACTTTTCAAACATTTTTAGTATTATTTATCTCTCCTCCCTCTGAATTGCCTTTCCTCCCACATTCTCAGGTCACCCCCACCCCCCATTTTACTCATTTCTCCCTTAATAGCATCTGCAGTGCATGCCTTTAATGCAAGTGCTTGGAAGGCAGAGGCAGGTGGGTTTCTTTGAGTATAAGGCCAGTCTGGTTTACACTGTTGGTTCCAGGCCAGCTAGAGCGACATAGGAGGACACTGGAGAGGTGGAGGTGTATTATTGTTGTTTTGACATAAGCAACCAATAACCCACAACTTCTTCACTGTTCTTCATGGCTGACTCAGTCAGGCAGACATCAAGGTTTCATGAGTGTGAAACTTCTTCTGGGGTCTCAATTCTGCATCCTTGGTAAATTTCTGTTTTGATTTCAAATTGTGTTACTTAGTACACATTTATAACAAATGCTGATAGCTGGTGGACAGTGAGCACTACCATGTTCCTTTTCTGGATTATCTTTAACATTTGTCTTAAGTATTTGCAAGCATGTTTTAAAACAACATGCTTCAAAAACAGCATATTGTGTATGATAAACATAACAGTTTTGATTTTTCAATTAAAAATAAAATGGAGAAATTACTGACATACTCACATATATAGAATATATGCATAATGCAATTTTTCTTGGGATTGCATTGGATGTTTAGAAGAATTTGAGAGAGAATTTTCAGATTTGTTATATTTCATTTTCTACTGAACAGAAATTATCCATCTATTATTCTTTCTCTTATCTTTGAGACGTCATTGTTTTATATTGATTCACTGATGAATGTTTTCAAAGTAAACTCTTTGTGGTTAATCCGACATTGAAATTTTTCAAAAAAAAATGCTAACATGCATTTCTGCTATCTAGCAGAAGCAGAAACCTATGTAGATATTCTTACGTGAAGTTTTCCATTTGAGTATGAATGACTATTTTTAGATCATTTCCTCTGCCAACTTATTTTTATGTTCTTATAATTAATATGTCTCTATTTGCTTTGCAGGTGTCAAAATGCTAACCAGTGAACGAGCCTATTGTTGGCCAAGAGGAAGTGCTCGAAGTAGATCTGAAGGAAATTTGATAGACATGGAAGCCTTAAAACTCTCAAAAAGTCACAATATGACAGGTACAGAAATTTATCATCTGATGTTTCTGTTTAAATAAATCAAATCATTTCTAGTACATATGGAATGTTTGCCTCTAAAAAAGTGCTATAGAAGATTTACAAAATTATCAAGAGTAAGTACTATCACAGACTAAAATATCATTAAACATAGCACTGACAGCTCTTCCAAAGAACCCAGATTCAGTTCCCAGCACTCACATGGCAGTTCACAACTGTCTGAAATTCCACTTCCAACGGATATAACACCTTCACACTAATGCACATAAAATAAAGTTAAATAAATTCTAAAAAACATAAATGTTTTCATAAGAAAGTACACCAATAGGGCTAGAGATGCCTTCATGGGTACAGTGATTGCTGCCTAAGCATAAGAACAGGCTTTGTTTAGTCAGTACATATTAAAAGCCATGCATAGGTGTGCATTTGTAGTTCCAATGCTAGGGCATCAGAGACCAGCAGATACCCGAAGCTAACTCTCCAGCAAGTGTAACTGATCAGTGAGCTCCAGTTTCAGGGACAGATCCTGTCTCAAAAAATAAGGTGAAGCTTGATAGAGGAACACACCTGATCTCAACTTCAGGCCTCTATGTGTAGATGTAATTGTATGCGGGGGAAATGAGTTTTGAGAGAGTTAAGGTAGATGACTGAGGATATGTGGTAATAAGAGAAACCTTATTTCTGTTTTTCAAAATCTGCCTTGTACCTTTTAATAAGTAGCATAACTCACTTAAGATAAACGTTCTTCAAATATTAGGAAAAAATGTCTAACAATTTTCTAAATTATTTTCTAAAGAACTTCAGCTAACTCAGTTGTCTATGATGATTCTCATTGTCTCTAAAGCAATATTAAAAACACAAAGTTCTCATGTTTGTGACTAATATTTTCTATGAAAGAGCCAAACAAATGCCACTCTAAATATGAAATGTCTGATGCTTCAAGCCCTTTCCAGAGAAATACTAAAGTGTTTCTGTTTCTAGTGCATCCCCTCCTTTACCATTATAATATCTCAAAGTCCAATGAATTACTACAGGCAGTAAATTCACTGAAAATGCTTTTTCAGTGTGTCTTTCCCACACATACAAAATATAGTGTTAAAGTTATTAATACAGTGTTACCAGAAAATGAATAATTAATGATGATGTTAACTTAGAAGACTGTTTTGAAAACTATTTTGACTGTGCATGGATATCTTTGATATTTTTTTAGATATCATTTGAAAAAAAAAAGACATCAAAGTAATCTCTGGATATAATGAAACCAATAGTTTAATGTTTAGAAAAACCTAAATGTTTGTTGTTTTTTCAGAAGTTTACTTTGGGTAAATGAAACATAATATAATAAGGTATAACTTTATATTATATAAGTAAACATGTTAAATACATTATTAATGTGTTGTTATATGAAATTATCTACTGTATATTCATTTTCTTTACATTTCATGATACCTTAAGATAAAATTAATGTATCTGTACTCAAAATAACTTGGTAGAAAATTTTCCTTTCCTCATTATAAACAGTTGATATGATTTCCTACTGAGAATGTGGTAGATAGCAGTGTGGAGATCAAAATTGAAAACCTAAAGTTTTGAATTTTTAAAGTCTAGAGATATTAATCATGGTTGTATCTCAGATTCCCACTTCATTTTCTGTTTGCTTTTTAAAAAAAAAAAATAACAAGCATGCCAAGGACTAGGCTTGCCTCACAACTGGCCAGATGTTTCTACTGTCAATGGTAATAGTGATGCCAAAGCTACATGTCTGTCCTGGAGTAAGCTGTCTGCCTCGAACCCGTTTCTGGATGACATCACACAGCTAAGAAATAACCAAAAGAGGGATAATATGTCCATCTTGAAGGAAGATCCTTTTCTTTTTTTAAGACAAATAGAAACAAGAAATTCCTTTGATTCCTCTGGTGATGAACTTGACATGGATCAGGTGCTGAGGCCATCTTCCTCAAGGAAGTCAGGAAGGTCTAAGAGTGTTTCAGACCTCCTGGATACCTTAGATTATATGTCATACACTCATCAAAGTATGAATATCTCTGACCAGATCCTAATGCAAGACTTAGAATGGCTTCAAAGTGACCGAGAAGCATATAAAATGGCTTGGCTAAGTCAACGTCAGCTGGCCCGCTCTTGCCTGGAACTGAATACAATTAATCAGAGTCCTGGGTGGGCTCAAACACAAATTGCAGAAAACATTGCAGTTTATAAATTAAATCATCAAGGAGGGTCAGTCCAGTTTCCTGACTCAGATATCACTATTCATGTACCCCAAGGACACGTAGCTGTAGGGGAATTCCAGGAGGTATCTCTGAGAGTGTTTATGCATCCTCCACCAAAGCTGAACCATGATCTCTCCTGTACTGTAAGCCCCTTGTTGGAAATCAGGTTAAGCAACCTGAATACCATGGAAGCTATTTTGCTGGAGATGAAAATTGGGGCAGAAGTCAAAACAGATCCCCTGAGCCAAGTCATGACAGAAATGGTGTGTTTCTACAGCCTGGACAGAGAAGGCCCCTTCCGAGCACTAAATAACTGCTATATCTACAGAGACACTATCCAAGCAAAGCTGCTTGACCTGAGCCGGACAATGTACATAGTCATAGCTGCACAGGCTAAGACCATTCAGCCACCAGCTGCTACTATCTGGGATTATATTCACAAAACCACATCCATTGGAATTTACGGACCCAAATATATCCATCCAAGTTTTACTGCTGTTTTCACAGTCTGTGGACACAACTACGTGCCAGGAAAGTTTACAGTCTCTGACATTAAGAAAGATGGAAAAAGTACATCTCCAGTCGTATTTCACCTCTGGGGGAAGCATTCATTTTTACTTGACAAGCCACAAGATTTAATTATTTCAACTTTTTCCTGTGATCCTGATTTTGAAGTAAAGGTAGAGGGAGAAGAGAAAGTAATTGCACAAAGGCAATTGGAAACAGGTGTGGTAGTTCATCAACACGTTTTCTTTTCTTCAGTTGAACGCAGAAAGATGGACTTGTTTGTTTTCCGGGTTCAAGTGGAGCACACCAGTGGAAAACCAGTCACACAGTTCTTTGTCACTTCACCTGATCCAGCCCCAAATTTAAAAAGGTTCTCACATCTGCCAGGCTATTTCCAGAAGGAGAGAAAAGGACAGAGAATATCTTTATTATCGACAGGGCTTGTTCAGTACCCCACTTTCCAAGATAAAAAATTGGACTTTACCAATTATGGGGTTACACTGAAGACAGTACTGAGGCAAAGTAAGATTGACTATTTACTTGAGTATTTGAAAGGGGACACAATTGCCCTTCTTGGAGAAAGTACAGTAAGAGCCATTGGACAGTCCAAAGTGAAAGAATGGTATGTAGGAGTTCTCCGAGGTAAAATCGGACTTGTGCATTGCAAAAATGTCAAGGTGATTTCCAAAGAACAAGTGATGTCTACGTCTGATGGCATTTTTACAACTAAGAATCTTCTGGAACAAATTGCTTTGCCATTTAAAAATCTGACTTATATATACTCTGTTGTATTGACCCTGGTGTCAGAAAAAGTTCATGACTGGAAAGTTTTAGCTAATGTCCTGGGATACTCACATCTGGTACAGGAAAATTTTGATAGAATTCAAGCAGACAAGGAACCAGAAAGGGTTTCTTACATTGTTAAGAAGTTAGAAGAAGATTGCCATGAAGACAGAAATACAAGGAAGTTTCTTTATGAACTGATTGTGGTGAGTACTGGTTGATCATAATTCATTTTAAAGAAGTTCATAAACTTGTTGATATTTATAAACAAAAAGATAAGAGGTGAAATGAAAAACTTGTAGTCTCGAATACATTGAAGTTACTGAACAGGAAACAGAACTTTTCCTACATGGTAATAGCTTTGGATTCATGATTTGAAAGTCATTTGTGATTTTTCTCAGAAAACAGGTCCATAATAGGTCAGCTTGTAAGAAATCTTAAAGGTTGTGTTTGTGTTGGGACTTATCTTTTAAACTTAAGAGATTATTTCTTCTTTTCTCAAATGTTTAGACAGCCCTTCAAATATCAGAGAAGCTCCATAACAAGAAAGTAAATAAGAACAAACTTAAACAAAAACACCTAACCTTAATAGAGGCTCATTTTTGAGTGCTTGTTTTCTTCAAATATATAAGCATTAACAATTATTTTATCAGTTTAATGTTAAGTTGCTGCCCTACTGATCTGAAGGTTCAGGTCTGAACCTTTACATACATTTGCATACATATGTATGTTTATATTCCTATATTTTTCAAACGTACTTAAAGCAACTCTTATACTTGCCTGAAACACATAGTAAGGGAGAAAGTTCAAGTGTGCAATAAATAAAGAGAAACTGATAGCATTCCACTTTCCCTTGTAGGAGAGTGTTTGACTTTATTACCTTGTGGTTTATATTAATAGAACCACATTAATAATGAGGGAGACCAATGATTTAAATTCAGAAACTTCTGTATGTTTGTTCAAAATTAAAGGAGTATCATATGTTTGTTCAATAAACATCATTCTAGACAAATTTAAGTTATATTTTACTAAAATAGATTCTGGTTAATCCTCTGGTAAGGCAAGGAATGAAAGTTAGGGGGAGTGAGTAATTCTCTAGATTCAGAAACTATGGACTGCAGGAGCCGTGGGTACTGATAAAAGGGCAGATATTGTTCTATTAGCAGTTAAAGGCATTAAGACATACCAGTAGAATGGCTTATCCATGATCCCATGGTTAGCTACTGAGGCTATACTAACACTTCCCTAAATCTAGTATAGTTATGATCACTGTGGTGGCTTGTTGAATATTCTTTTTTTTATTAATTAGACTTTATTCACTTTGTATCCCCCCATAAGCCCCTCCCTCTCCCCTCCCAAACCCACTCTCCCTCCCTCTTCTTCACACATGCCCCTCCCCAAGTCCACTGATAGGGAAGATCCTCCTCTCCTTCCTTCTGATCTTAGTCTATCAGATCTCATCAGGAGTGGCTGCAATGTCATCTTCTGTGGCCTGGTAAGGCTGCTCCCCACTCAAGGGGAGATGATCAAAGAGCAGGCCAATCAGATATGTCAGAGGCAGTCCATCTTCCCATTACTATGTAACCCACTTGGACACTAAACTGCCATGGGCTACATCTGTGCAGGGGTTCTAGGTTATCTCCATGCATGGTACTTGGTTGGAGTATGAGTCTCTGGGAAGACCCCTGTGTTCAAATTTTCTGGTTCTGTTGCTCTCCTTGTGGGGTTCCTGTTCTCTCCAGATCTTACTATTTTCTACTTCTTACATAAGATTCCATGCACTCTGCCCAACAGTTGGCCATAAGTCTCAGTGTCTGCTTTGATAGTCTACAGGGCAGAGCCTTTCAGAGGCCCTCTGTGGCAGGTTCCCAGCCTGTTTCCTGTTTTCTTCCTCCTCTGATGTCCTTCCTCTTTGCCTTTCAGGATGGGGATTGAGCATTTTAGTCAGGGTCCTCTCTCTTGATTAGTTTCTTTAGATGTATAGTTTCAGTAGGTTCATCCTTTATTACATGTCTATATGAGTGAGTATATACCGTGTGTGTCTTTCTTAAATGTGAATCAGTGTTCTGAGTTTAAAAGCCTCAACTACATGTGTGGTGGGGAAAAGGATGTCAATTTCTAGAAAACTTAGTGCAAATTATAGTTTAAAGGGAAAAAGTCAATGAGGTATTTCTAAGTATGATATGTACTTGCTGCTGCAGGCTCTGCTAAAGATGGATTGCCAAGGGCTAGTGGCAAGTCTTATCCAAGAGGCTGTTATTTTGACTTCAGCAGTCAAGCTTGGAAAAAGCTGGAGGGAACTTGCTGAGAAGTCTGCAGGACTCACTAAGCATCAGATACAGGCATATGAGATCCCTCACCGGGGAAAATCTGGAACTGTGTCAGCCGAGGTGAGGTTCACTTTTTCTCTTCTCTTCTTTTCTTTTTTCTCTTCCCTTCCCTTCTCTTCCCTTCTCTTCCCTTCCCTTCCCTTCCCTTCCCTTCCCTTCCCTTCCCTTCCCT